CAACAGAAATAGCAGTAGTCCATATAAGAGGGCACCAGAAAGGACACAGCTTTGAATTTAAAGGAAACCAATTGGCTGATCAGATAGCAAAAGAAGAAATTTGAAGGCCCCTTTCAGGTACTCGTCATCGCTAATTCTGCTGTGCGGACCAGAGAAAAGGGTTGGACCCACATCACGAGAATTAAAGGACCAGTCCCACCCCTGGACATTGGACAAGATTCGTCAGTATCTCCCTCTGGTATTGGACCAGATCCCACAGCACCCTCACACCCTAACTCAGGACAGGATTCAACCACATCAGGAGTTAATTCAGCTGAATATACTATTATAAAAGGACCAAATGACTTAAAGTTGACACTCAAAAAGAAGAACCAAAAAGACTGATAATCTGCATAAGAAAAAAGTTTAGAATCATAACATGTCTTAAAGTGTTAAGAAATTTGTAAAAAAGTTAAAAATTGTTAATAAGTAATTTTGGTTAAGTCCTCCCAACTTAGTACCAAAGACTCCAGGTTAATCTTCTGCAGAGTGCTCCCCTAGGAGAGACCAAATTAGCAGGGACAGATCAAGAGAGGTTTAACCAGAGGAGCAAGAGACTCGAAAGAGCTTGGAAACTTCTTCTCAGTAAAATCCTCAAGAGGCAAGGCCGGGTGGGCAGGCTGTGCAAGATGACCCATACCGGACTCTTGGGAAGGGTAGTAGTGATGGCTCTGATTGCTGGTGGAGCTCTGGGGAGCCCAGGAGAGCCGTGCAGTGAGTGCTGCCAACCTCTCTATGAGAAAGAAGTAAGTTCCTTGCTAAGAGTCCACACCGACCTAAACTATAACTGTGTTAACCTCTCCCAATTGATCCTTTATCAAGAGAATGAGAAAATATATTGGATGGCCCGGAACACTGCCACCTTTAGGCAGCCACTCCTGGGAGAGTACCCTGTAGGAGAAGCCTGGTGGTGCTTTGAACATGATACTACTAAAGCAAGCCTGGTAAATCTGGTCAAAAGAAAA